TCCCCCCGGTGCCCAAAAGGGGCGGGAGGGCGAGGGGAGATGCTCTGCGAGCGGGGGAGCTGGAGCTGGCCCCGGCCGGGAGGAGCCCCCGCACCCGGCACCGCCGCGGAGCCTCCATTTAGCGCGGCACCACCGCATGCGCCGGGGTTTTATTCCGCTTCCGAAGGGACCTCTTGACCGTCGGGGTTTTTCTCCGACTTAAACGCGGGGAGTAATTACGAATGCGTTTAAGCGCTGCATTAGCTTTAAGCGTTTCCAAGGCAAAGTATTGGATTTCATATTTATAAGAGGAATTTACATTTGTACATTGACTCACGGTATGACGTAGGGTGAAACCGATTTCCTCCCCCCTCAGCTTTCCTTCCCCCCCCCCCCGCTTCAGCTTATTTTGGTGGAAACGGGGCAAATAAGCAAACGGAAAAATCATGGGTTTAATCCACGCTTTAATAAGCGCTGACCCGAAGAGCAAGATTTTGTTGAGTAGATAACTGAGTCCCCTCTCTCCATCTCCCTCCCGCCCCTCCCTTCCTCCCTCTCTCTCGTGATTAATTCAGAGACTGTAATCATGGACATTGTACATCAAACCTTTCTGCTCACGCTACAGACTCCTGCAGATTTTTATTGGTTTACATGAAAGCGAGTAAACATATTTCAGAGGATGCCCTTTCAATCTGGCTCCATTTCCACAGCACATAATTCCAAGGACAATTTGTTTTAATAATAAGAATGGATGCAGTGTTAATGGTTTTCAATTTGTGTTTAAAAAAAAAACATTAAATATTTATAAGTATCGATCGAGGGTTGCAGGATTTTACAGACGTCTTAACACATTTCATAGATGGGATTTTTTTTAATTTAGAAACCTGCGTCGTATTCTCTTTTATGCTGTTTATTGATTTAAGCAACATCCGTGTCTCAAATGAGAGACTAATAGATTTTCATTAAAATAGGCTCTCTTAATCCTGATTGTGAATGGATATGATTGATCCATCCAGCACACTACACATCTATAATATTAATAAAGGACATTATCATGGCAGGACTTGCTTTTCCGTCGTCAGGGCACTTTTTTTTTTTTCCCCCTCCTTGCAACCTTAAAGATTTATTTGGGGGCCGTAAAATGGCCCACAGGAGGGAAACGCATTGGGAAGAATACATTTTTATATTAGATTTTTTTTTTTTTTGGTAGCTTCAGTGGAAAGATTTTTTTTTTTTTTTTAAATCTACAAGCCGCTGGGGCAACATATGGTGAAAATTAAACTGTTTCCCCGCAAATCTAATCTTAAAACATTTCTG